ATATTTTTGCACCCCTTTCTTCTCCCTCTAATCCTCAGTAGCCTGTAGACACCAGGATGAAATCCAAAATTGCAGGAAGTCCCCCCCCCCCCCCCCCCCCCCCCCCCGGGTCTGAGGGTAGAGAGTCAGAAATGAGTGAGAAGACCATGACTTCTCTGGGCTGGGTCTTGGGTTTCTGCATCCTGAGCCTGTGTGCCAACAACTTGCCTGGGGTTGGGAACAGACCAGAACCATGCACTGCTCAAAGGAGCTACTACCATTTAAAACATCTTGTAGGATGCTGAATCATGTCACCCAGGGACCATGCCATTCCTCTGGTTAAGGTTCACTGTATAGCAAGTTGCCCAATGTTTGTTCGTCCTGCAAAGCACATGGTGACTGCACGAGTGAGCATCAAATTTAAATTCCATCTGATCCCATGATCTCAGCAGGATAATTTCCACTGTTCAGATGTTCCTTTACAACTCTACATGCTCCTGGTCCTTCATGACCTGAATTATAACAGAGAGCATTTTATAAACTTAACTTGGTCTTATACTCCACATGTTTACCTATTATGCTAACGACTGTATAATATATTGTATTTAGGCTGGTCTTGAGCTGGGGAGCTCAAGGAGGCCTCCTCTTTTGGTATTCTAGTTGCTGGGATTGCAGGCTTGTGTTCCGGTGCCCAGCTACAGGGTATTGCGTGACAATTCACAAATCTAGTCTTAACTGTTGGAACTGAGGATTCTTACATTGAAAAGTGATTAACTGTACTGGTTTTCGGGAACAAGAGCGCGTGCTGGAAACATGAAACCCTCTTTCACTCTAAATGCAGACATTTCCTGCGTCTCTCCTGCTGAGATCTGTGTTTACATGGGCTTAGAGGGTAAGGGAATATTTCCAGTGTACTGGACCTTGGGACACAAGAAAGTGATGGTGACGTGGCTGAAGTCTCCAAGAAGCTCGAGTAAGGAGTGCAGCTTGGAGGGTTCTGAATTCTGAGTCCAGCTTCAGAGGGGTTTAGGTTGTGAAGGGGAGGTGTGGAGTCGGCGGAAATAGAAGGTACAAATGCCATCTGAGGGGTCAGCAGCTCTCTTTCTCTACTGGAGGCCATCTTTATTTAAACAGCGTAATGATGACGTAAGCCATTAGGCAAGCGTCAGGTCACGTCATCTCTGATTCCGAGAAAGGGTGGTTCCAGCTGACAGAGCCCTGGGTCCCCCTTTCACTTCCTCATTAAGTGTCCAGGGTAAAAGTATAAAGGACAGAACAGTCTTATCTGAGTCATCTTTGGACAGCGCCTGTCAAACCGGAAGTCAGCAGTTTCTAAAGCATAGTCCTCCTTTTACAGTTCAAGTGGTTACAATGTGTTCGTCTGAAACGTTTTCACCTTAACCAAGCCACATGTAGAGCCATTTACTGTCTTTTAAAATGTAAGCCTTACAAAATGTCTTATAGTAAGTGTTTAACTGGCTCTTTATAACATTTTTCTGTTCCTTCGTTTCACAACAGGGGCCCGATCTTTTCATAGTCTCCCAGAAAGGAATTCTTTTTCTATTAACCCACTCCTTTCTTACTCCCTCTCTTTGGCTCCAGTATAGGGCAACAGTGTAAGCAGATCAGGAAGATGAGCAACTGAGTTTTTCCCTCTTGCAGCAATCCTTACCCTGCCATCCATCTGGTAAGCTGCAAACCCTAGGTAAGGGGGTTTTATAGTGAGAGCAGGTGTATGGGGTCCCACAAGTCCATGGTGATCTTTCTGACCTAATTGTCCTCCTTAACTCCACAGAAGAGGATACACTTGTGACATTTTATACGCAGAATTGAGCAAGAAATTTCTCAAATCCTACCCTATTGGTACCACAATCCTCGGCGCATGAGGAAGACTCTTGCTTCTATGACTGCTTTCAGGCCATGACCTCTGTCTTCAAAGTTTCCCGGAACATGATTATATTTCCCCAGGGTCTGTATAAGCACCAAACTCCCCATCATGCAAACAACAGTTCCTAAAAACAAAAGCGACAGATTTTCAAGTTCAGGAGCAGCTGCAAACAAACAAATGTTCCTAAAAGGGGGAACAGGCCGGTGACTGAATCCCTCAGTGAAGTTTCCCTGGAATTTCGTTAACCAGCATCCTCAGCCTCATGACTTGAGCTGTCCCTTGTGCCATGGCCTGCACCAGAGTCATTGGTAGGTGACCAGCCATCTCCATGTGCCTGGAACCGAGAGTTTTCTCAAATCTTACCACTTTAGGGACTGAAAGCAGGCAAGCTCGGTGTAAGTTGGGATGAGTTGGTCACTGTGGACCTTAGTTAGACTGTAACCTCTCCTCAGTGGAGAGGAAGTGAAAGGACCCAGAAGGGAATACATGAGTAATTTATATGTAAGCCAGCATCATGTCACGAAAAGCTCGCTTCAGTGAAAAGCAGCTCAAGCAATGCAATGAGGTCTCACCCTACATATGGGAGCCAAAGTAGATACGTATCTGCACTGGTGTTCCGCTTACAGGAAAAGGAAAGTATGCCCATTCATTTAACAAATATGCAAGGAACACCAGTCCTCGCTCAGGCATTGGACAGTCCCTTTGCTCTTCTGGCACTTCTGTTATGTGCACCAATGCACATGCATGTGTATGGTATGAGTGGAAATAAACTACCAGGCTTGAGAAACCTCTTTTCAAGTTGTTGTTCAGGGAGTCCAGGAGATGCCAGAAAAACAAAACCAATGTAGGCTGTTGCATTGTTACTGGCTGCCTCCCAGATCTGAAGTCAAGTCCATGTTGCTAAAGACATCACGTCGTTTGGACACATGGAAGGAATAAAGCTGGGCCTGACCTGGAAGCCTTCTCTTTGAGGACTGGCTCTGATGGCACCAAAAGGTGCTGTGGCCGCTGCCAAGACAGAAAACTCAGCCAACAGTCCTATCCAGCTGTGCCGCCCACATACTACAGCAATGACCAGCATGACAAGGTGTACCTAAAGGTGCAATAGTAACAAACACCTTTCTAATAGGACGTAAGGCCCACTGAGTAGGAGGCAATTCAGGTTTGATACTGAGAACCTGTCCAAATACCCATTGCTGGGGAGGCCGTTAACCCTAGAGGAGAATCTACTATTGCCACTTTACTAAACCAGTAAAACTTTTAGCTACACTCTAAATACTTACCCTTATATCCACAGATAAGCTTAACTCTCATCTTCCATCAAGGAGGCTTCTCCTTGTAGCAGAGACCATTACAGAAATTCACAACTGACCCTGATGAAGAGAACAACTGTGGGGTGTCCAGACTCAACTGATCGAGCCATACCAAAATTCTTACACCAGGAGATGGAGCCAGATGCTTCAAGATCATGTCTTCTTTTTTTTTTTTTTAAAAATTAATTAATTAATTTATTATGTATACAATATTCTTTCTGCGTGTATGCCTGCAGGCCAGAAGAAGGCACCAGACCTCATTACAGATGGTTGTGAGCCACCATGTGGTTGCTGGGAATTGAACTCAGGACCTTTGGAAGAACAGGCAATGCTCTTAACCACTGAGTCATCTCTCCAGCCCCCAATCATGTCTTCTATATTGCAGAAAAGTTCCACCCATGAGAGCTCAGCAATATAGTAGCCTACATGAGACCTGAGCATCAGTTGACAAGCAAGCTTGGATGGGGAGACTATCATAAGGCCTCTCCTTTAGATGAAGAGATACAGGCAATTAACAGGTGCTGAGAGGGAGAGTCAGTCTTCCCCAGATAATCAATTAATTATCTAGTAACAAGTGGTCACCCCTAAAACATATACATATAAGCAAAACTAAATGGACTTAACAAGCTGTATTGACATGTCTATGTATGTATACACATAGCAATAACAAAGAAAAAAGGGGGAAAGGGTGTGGGTAGATCTGGGAGGAGGTAAGAGGAAGAGTGGGGTAGTGGGTAAATATGGTCAAAGTATGTTGTATGACATTCTCAAAGAAATGCTATATTAACATTAAAAAGAAATGGTAACAAGCAAACGGAGAATATGACCTTCATTAGGATTGGCTACGAAGACTGAAGTAGCAGGAAAAGGATGGATTAGTGGAAAGAGAAGATCCGGGTAGGGGGCAGCTAACTCTTGGGCAGGGGCAGTCACTATGTGGCTCTGGCGTGGTGCTACCATTTGAGGCAAGAGAGCCGCCCCATTCATATTCTCAGGAAAGCGCTTGCTGGGAGGAGCAGCTGTGAGAACCTCGTATCCACACTCTCAAGGCAAACATCCTGCGGGCAAGACTTACTATAAGAGCCTGGGGCTGTTGCCTGAGGAGGGAACCTGGACGGGCTTTGCAGTGACGTGGCCCAAGTCATGTTTTCACAACAGAGGAGTCGAGGACCTCAAGCTAGCAGATAAATGGTCTCTAGATTCCTATCCACGTGCTTCGGCTCACGGCTGCTGCTTAACTTGGGGACCTCATTTTCTCCTCTTGTACAACTGAATAAATCAAGAGTCATCTACATTAGACCAGAAAAGTTGGCCTTGATATTGTATGTGGGTGGGCGCAAAGACTAAAATATTAACCTTAGGGGAACAAGAGGGACTTTGAATTCCATATTAACCCTTGGTGGTAGGGTCCTCCCCTGTAAGGTTCTGTACAACAAGCTTCAAGAACCCCAGCAAAGAACGAACACATTCTGCATCCTACAAACGCGGAAAAGGAAACTGGTCTCAAGGCAGGTGGCTCCAACCGACCTTTCACTTAAGGCCGTGTTTGTGCAAGTTCAGAACCTGGTGCACAAGTTGAGGTGATGACTGGTCCGGCGAGTGTAGAAGACTCAGAGAAGACTCTAGGCGTGCAATGACAGCAAGGTAGAACAGCTTGATTTCGGTAACTCAAGGAGTTAACATATCCAAAACCAACGCAGGAGAGGGGAGGAAAACCACACCCCACGGGAGTCAAGCCAACTCATAGGAGAAAAATCCTATTGGCACCAAGGAGGCAGGGAGCCAGCCCCTGGGCGCGGCCTGTAGGGGGCAGGCGATTGCCCAGGGAAACCGGGGCAAGACGAGGTCCGGCGTCCCAGCAGCTCCCGCTCAGCCGCAACAGGGACAGCTCTGCGCCCGCCCGCCCGGTGCGCCCTCCTCGACCCGTGGACTCGCGCTGCTGCCCCGCCGCTGCCATGTGTGCGGCTCGGACGCCACCGCCACTGGCGCACATCTTCCGAGGGACTTTCGTCCACTCCACCTGGACCTGCCCCATGGAGGTGCTTCGCGATCACCTCCTCGGCGTGAGCGACAGCGGCAAAGTGAGTGGGCACGGGGTCCAGGGTACCGCGGGCAGGTGGAGGGACTCTGGCGCGGTGCTGCTCATTCCGGTTCGCTCTGGCACAGAGCGAGCACTGTGGCTCTGGAGTTGAACTTGAACGTTTGGCTCTTAGGGAATGCAAACAGCCTGGTCACTAGGTTCATAGCCTGGTTAGGGTGGAACGACACCCCAGAGGCCAGGAGCTATGGAATACTAGCAAAACATGGTAGGAACCCTCAGAAAATGTGATTGAATTCCTTGCACAGAGTGGGGGTGAGGGGCATCATTGGATTAGTGTTGTTTACTGAATTCAGAGGTAGAATGGAACAAAAACACCCGGTTTCATTCACATGGTCATTCATTTTTTAAAAAAAAATGCATTATTGCTGCAGGCTATACAAGTTTAATGCTGGGAAGGATAGAACTGGAAAAATCTCTCAATCTCCCCGCTCCCCCCTCCCCGCCCCACCGCACACACAGCCATTTGCATTAAAACAATCGGTTTCATTTTAAAGTTGAAAATGCCTTCTATGATAATTGGTCTTATATAGCCACCCCTTAGGATTCCACAAGTGTTCTATGATGTCTGGTGCCTTCTTCTTTGTTCATACAGATGGCAACTACAGAGATTAGCAGTGTCTTGGTCAGTTTGATAAGTGAAGTCATTTCATTTGGGGGAAGAATGGGGTGTTTGGGCTGTTTCTCAAAGTATACCAGTTTGTGGGCTGCCAGCTTGGAGACTATAGTACCACTGAATCATGGACAGTATTGAATTATAACTTGTATTTGGGAGTAACCAAATCTGATGGATATTCTTAAAAAATTGTTAACATTTTGTGTGTGTGTGTGTGTGTGTGTGTGTGTGTGTGTGTGCGTGTCTCTGCGTGTGCAGGTGCCAAGTACATGTGTGGTCAGAGAACAACCTGTGGGAATTGGTTCTCTCCTTCCTCTGTGTGGATTCCAGGGACTGAACTCAGGTCCTCAGGCTTGGTGGCAAGCACTTTTACCTGCTAAAGTGACCCCATGGGCTCCAAAATCTTGTTTTCTCATGGTCTTTGTTTTTTTTTTTTTTTTTTTTTTTGTTGTTGTTGTTGTTGTTGGTGGTGGTGGTGATGGTGTATTGGGAAGCTTGATGCTGTGTTTCCAAGGTGATTAAAAAGTCTCAGAGCTCACCTCATGGAGACTCCAGTAAACCTGGGGACCTGCACATCCACTCTGTGTATAGGATCACGACCCTCAATTTTAGTGAACTTCTAACCTGGTGCAAACCCCAAGAAACCCAATGCAGACACCGGGAGACTGGTGATGGAGAGGAGGTGCTAGTTTGAACACAGGAGCTTTTCAATCGGTAGTTTTCTTTCTGGGATTAATCTCCTATTCCGTCAGTTCCAATAGTGTAACTGACTTGACAGCAGGTCTGGAGACATGATGGGAAGAAGTAAGAAAAGGGTGTAAGCTATCGGAAAACTAATCTTTCCCTTGAGTTTATTCAGAAGAATAACAGCATCCTGAACATGCAATTAGTGGTTGAGTCAGAGAGCGTGTTCCTTTTGGAACATGCTGAGACTCTCAGTGAGAGAGCGTGTTCCTCTTGGCGCATGCTGAGACTCTCAGTTTGGAGAGTGGGCCATTCCCACAGGAGACAAAATTAACTAGGAATCAGCCACAGAGGCAAGCCAGTCAAGATTTGCAGTTGAAAAACCCCTTGCCAGTGGATTGTTAACTATTGGTCTCCCTCCTCGGTGCAAGGCAGTAAGTTAATTGCCCCTTCCCCAGCCTTAAAGGGTAAGGATGGGGTATCTATTTCAGTATTCCATCTCCCTCATGTTGAATAGGGAGTGCCACACATTTAGAATTAGTAAGACAAGCTGCTTATTTATATACTTATTATTTATATTATTTAACTATTCCAAGGCATACGGAAACTAGAATGTCCTTGAAGTGAGGAAGTGAATGTTTGGGACCATCAGGCTCAGGTGCCTCTGATTTCCAGTGAGCTCTTAAAGCTGATGCCAGGACACAGCTTGAGATGGATTGGGAGTATCTAGAAGGACTTGTGAAAATACTGGCTCCAAGATAGCATCCTCAGAGAACCCAAATGCATAGGTCCAGGATCAGATTCTTGTAAGCATCTCCGGAGACCCAGGCAAGGCAGTGGGTGAATTCCAGTCTAAGTGATCCTGGTGGATCCATTGTGGGAAATGTTCAAAGCTCATCTCACTTCAGGCCTAGGTCTCAGGCAGCATCTCATGGAAGGGACAGTTTTCCTTGTCTCCTCTGTCCTAGGTCTAACTCCTCATTTCCTGTCTCTTGACTTAGGCTTGGAGGGTGGTAATGACTGTGCTTCATTCATTCAAGTACAGCATATTAAATAATGAGTTATTTTTTAAAAGAGCAAAACAAAAAAAATCCCTTTGTATCCAACATTTTTGGTATTATTTAGAATTCAGGGTTAATTTTTACACTTAAGCAGCATGCAGCTTGTTTTTACACTAAAGATTCCAAAATGTATAATTCATTTTCAAATGTTTCATTAATCTTGAAACACAGTGTGCTCAGATATTACTGTTTACCCAGTTCTTCCCACATACACCACGGTCAAGTTGACTCTAAAAATTTCATCAAGGTTGGAACTTTCAGTGAACGTTTTTACACAGAAACCAGAGTGAGGAAGTGTGCCCACATAGAAACAGTGTCCTGGGTGTTAGGAGCAAATTCTCTGTAGAAATAAAGCCCCGGGTGGGAGTGTTCGCCTGCTTTGAGACCATGAAATGAGACACTGAACATCCCCAAGCCCCAGTTCCCTCCTCAGTAGACTCAGGCTTAAATCTGATACAGAAAGAGCGTATGTATGACAATGTTCGCACTTAGTTGGTACTGCACTCAGACTGGGGTCATTCGGGCCCCTTCCTTTTCTCTGCCCCTAGTAAGCCCTAAGCCTGTTGCTCAGCATGGCAGTTTTGCAGCTTTCCACGTGGTAGCACCTGTGCAGTTACGTGGTAGAGAAGAAAGCTGAGGCCTGGGGTAAACCTCGCGGGAAGAGGCACAGGTGCTGGATGTCAGCTGTGCATTTTTGTGATCTGATCGTGACGTCTGTCACTCGCGCATGGTGACATGAAGCTGTACCTGGGAAAGGTTTCGGGGTCCTTAGCTGCTCTGTCACTAGGCCGTTGTTGCCAGTGTTACTCCCACTACAGTCAATAAGCTGGCTAAGGAAGCCAGTCATCCACAGTTGTGGCAGTGTGACCAGCTCTCAAAACATGGACCAAAGACCATGCTCTCTTTCCCTCAACAGTCTGCTTCCTTAAGGAACGACCCCTAAATTTAAAACTTACACTTTCAGGGGATGGCTCAGTGGTTAAAAGTCTGGTTGTTCTTCTAGAGGTTTCATTTGATTCTCAACACCCACATGACAGCTCACAACCATCTGTATCTTTAGTTCTAGGAGAGCTGATGCCCTCTTCTGGCCTTCAGGGCACCTACACTCACTGCCCACATGCATAGCCAAACAGACACAGACACACACTGTATATAATTTTAGCCAAGGCACCACACTTGTGATAATAAAAGTGGAATGAATCTCGAATCCAAAACTGGGCTCGTCAATGAAGACGGATGAATGAATGAACTATGAAAGCAGCCGCAGTGAAGTCACCAATCTAGTGAGACATACCAGACCTGCTGTGATGGTCAGAATGGAGTTGGTCTGAGTAGAGAGGGAAAGTTTTCTCCAATTGAACACATTGTGCTATTTAAATCATGTTCTTCAGGAAGAGTGGGAATCCACAGGCAGGTTGGATTCAGAGAAGGTTAGCATCTTTTAGATGGAGGAAATGACCCATGAAAAAGAGTCCTGGGGGTTAGAAAGGATGAAAGGCAAAGATAATTAGAAACTCAGAGCTGAGGAGAAAGATAATACAATGTAAGACAGGCCAGGATGATAGAGGCAAAGTAGAATTAGATAAAGATTTTTTTTTCAAGCACTGGGATATGGGGGTGGATAGGTCAGGGAGTGAGATTAGAGACAGCTACAGTGGTTTATCTGAAGGAGAATGTTGCATGAACTCCTAAGACTACCTCTGTCACAGATTCTTCTATGAATCTGGTCAACTCAGCATTTCAATTTCTAGGCTTTCTTATATATAAAGTAATTCCAATTATTACCTCATGAGGTGGTGGGAAGTTCTAAGTTATTTTATAAGTGTAAACTGTGTGGAATAATGCGTGACGGAGAGGCTGTCCAGGGCCAGTATACACCAGCAGTTGCCATCCATGGAGGATGAGGAGTGTGGATAGAGTGGGGAGCTATTTAGGTCAAGTCAGCTGAATCGGATGACGGCTTGTGCACATGGTCTTATTGCTGATTTCTGGAGCCCAGAGTGGTGTCTATAAATGTGTGTGAGCCTCACATACCAGATTACCAAGATGTGTATTTGTAAAACTAGAGGCAGTATCTACCCAGCCATGGAAGTGATTGTTGAGCTGGACCTCAAAGAAAAGGTAGGATTTGAACACGTAGAAAAAGGGTCAGTAACCCTGACAAAGGGCTCTTCAGTTGCCCAGACTGACAGATTGATTAAGTCCTACTTCATCTGTGATGGCTTTGCCATCTTGCTTTGATAGAGTTCTTAGTCTGAATTACAAATCTCTGACTCTGAATCATCTATTGCTCCTGACTGGGAGGGTGAAGATTCACCTTCCTTGCCAAGCTCACAAACTCAGAATATTGTCCTAGTCCTGAAGAGAAAAATTGGACTTAACCACCCCTTATGAGGCTGCTGAAACAGGAGCATGGGTTTCCTAAAATGATTCATTCATGCCCAAGTACCACAGGATTATCCTCTGATATCCTGCAGCCTTGAAAGTTGTTTTCTCCATGGCAGTGGTTGGAGAGGTGGCTCAGTGAGTAAGAACTATTTTCCCAAGTTCAAATCCCCAGAATCCATATACAAATGTGGACATGGCTATACATGCCTGTAACCCCAGCATTGGGGTTAGGGT